TTTAAAAGAATTTATTTATTAATAATTATCTTCAATATTGAAATATTAATATTAATTGTTTGTTTGTAAACAAATAAGTATAAATAGAAATAATAAATTCTTTATCCTGAAATTTTAATGTCTTCACCCAACAGCAATAACCCTACGAGTTATGGCAATTATAATTCAAATAAACCCTTTTTAGTAAATAAAATTTATTAATCTAACATTAAATGATTGACTGAATCATCTATTAATTCTCTTAAAAGTAATTCTATTAAATAAAATTCCTTTTTTTGATCTCTTAAATACTTTAGTTGAATTAAACTGTAAAGTTTTGATATTAAAAACTTGTAACCATTCTTTAATAGAATGAAATCATCATCATTTTTATTTTCTTTATAATTCTTAAATAATTCAATTAAATACCAAAGAGGTTTAGAATCAAACTGCTTAGATATAAAATATCGTAAAAGTATTGGATCACAAGCATCTAATAAACTATTAAAAGTACTATTGTATAATAAATCAACTCTTTTCTCATTCCTTAAAGTTGAAATTTTTTTAGAAAAAACTTCAATTATTTTATAATGTAAATCACCCACAGCTTCGAAATCTTCTTCTTCAATCAGTTTTGCTAATTTTTCATACTTAAATTTAAGTTCATCAATTTCATAAAAATCATTAAATATTTCTATAATTAAATTATAAAACTTACTATAATCTTTTATAATAGGATTATACAAACTTTGATAAATGGTTTTCAATAATATGAAATCTCTTCTGTTTAACTTTTCTGAGTTACTGGGATGATATACTGGTAGGTAGTATAAAATATTGGGCGAAAATTGCAGTTTATAAGGCTCATCAATATTATTAACTAAATAAATTTCAAAGTATTCATTCTCATCAAATTGTTTGACTAAATGATTTGCATTTATTTTATTAAATAAAAGAAAAATTAATTGACGTAAAATCTTTTTGTTATTATTAGATTTCTTTAAACGATGAACATCTCTTATAATCTTACTCAATTCATACCATCTGTGATGTTTATACCTATTAAAGTAAAGTTGTTTAATGTATTTTTTATTCTTTTTACTTTCTTCAATATCATCTATTAAATCAGTTGACCAGTAATATTCAAGCATTTCTAATGAAATTTCATTTGAACCATTTTTAGGAGATGAGTTTTTTTTGGTAGTTTCATCCTTTTCTGATTTAATATCACTTACATTGGAAATTGAAGGTTGATCATCTTTCTTTAATTTTTCATTACAACTAGTATTATTTAAAGAACTTAATTCTGATGAATTATTATCTTGAATACTTTTATCCTCTTTAGCAGTATTACTATCTTGATTGCTACATAATAGGTATTTCATGTTATTTTTCAGTAGAAATAAAGCCGTGTTATCAATTATTAAATTAAAAAGTCTAATATAAGGTTTTTAAAATCTTTCTTTTTTTATTTCACTTTAAATTTTTAAAAATAAACTTTATTTTTTAAAATCAAAATAACTAATAAAATA